AAAAATTATGAGCTGTCAAAAGTGTAGTGTTCGAAAGCATTTTTGCATGTGAATTTTCAGTGGGAAGTCCTTCTTGCACACACACAAAAAAAGAAGTTTGGTGCCTAGGCACCACAGCAATGATGCAGCAGCATCCCCATTCCCTAGCTGAAAGAGCAACTGAGACTAAAGCAGAAAAGTATGTTTTTAATACTGTGGCTTCAGGAAAATGGCTTTTATGTTTTACTCCAGTTATCACACACTTGGAATTGTGATATATCATTAACAGAAACATCCTGTGGTTTTATTCCTTTGTTTGTTTTTGTTGCCTCCTCCCCCTCTCAGATAAAGTACCGTCAGAAGCCAGAAAATTTGAAGTTCACTGCCGTGGTTGACTCTCCAGATTTGATCCATGCTAAAACCAGCTACCTCCAGTGCAGTGACGTAGGTTTCATTTCACTATAAGTGATCTTAACTTTTGTTGTACTATAATGCATAAAAGAATTGATCTCGACATTGCTTCCAGTATCAGTTGCATTCAAGGACTTTTGACTCCACAGAGACTGTACAAGGCTGGAGACTCTGAAGCCAGGCACAGGTACACCCTGCCTCCTGATCATCCGGATTTTATCCGAGCCCGCCAGAATGCACTTCACATCAGTGATGTAAGTAAGCCTTTTACTTTGGGGAGTTGACTTGGTAACTGTCATCAAGGAAAACAAACTTGCTTGGGAATGAAAAACTTTCATGTATATGTAGAAGCCAGGTTCTCTGAGCCTGAACAGAACTGAAAAAGCCAGAGGCTGTGGACAGGTTTGGGCTAGAGGTATCAGGAAAAGTCTGTTGATTTTTCATTTGAGAATTGGTTCTGCTTTCTAGGGCAGGAAGCTATTATTAAGGATTTCAGTCCTTCAGTATAGGTATGGTTAGTTACAAATTTAAATCTACATTTGGGTGGAGGAGGAGGGAGAATCCTCTTTCCTTGACTATATAATCTATCTTCATGAAGCTGCAACACTGTGTTGAACTGATCCCTTAGGCACAGTTGTCATCAACCTGGATGCAGCTGAATCAGTGAGTGGAATTGGTTTAAAGGGATTTTTTTTCCACATTATGCCAGACAGGGGCACTCAGTCTATTCCTAATCTACTGTTCCCTGATTAAATAGCTGTTGTCCTTAACTGTAGGGTCAGAGTGACCTTAGTTTATAAGAAGCTTTGAGTTACTTGTTTGGTGATAGGTGCTCTGTAGGTGAAAGAAACAAATAGGATTTATATTCTTTGAAGTGATAGAGGAAAAGGTAAAAAGGCAAGGGGTGATTGCACACAAATGAAAGATCAAGCCTAGACCTCTTAGCAGGGCGTAAAGTAATGATTGCATTGCTTGTACCCAGGCTGTCTTGCAGGATTTCTGGCATTTCAATTTACCTTCAAATTAAGAACCATCTAGCACTAAATTCACCAGTGAAACAGAATAATATCTTTTGAAATGTGAAGTGGATTTTGTGCTTGTTTTCATATGGTCACAAACCCCAGAAAGGATGAATCAAAGTCTTACAGAAAGCAAATTAATAAAATCAGAAAGGGACAGCCAAAAGTGTCAGCTAAGATACCATGGCTGTGTAACAGGACCTGCAGACTGGAAGCTATTATAAGAAAGCTACTAATGGAGGAAGAACCAAATCTAGAGCAATTGCTCTTCAGGATGTAAATGTATTTCGCATCTTCAAAGTCACATTAAATATGTTAGAACCGGCTGTTATTCCATAAGAGTTAATGAAGCCACATGTGGCTGGGGATAGAGACAGGGATCAGTTGAAAAGCCTGAAATAACTGGTATTGAAATTATGATGCCACGAAACCCAAGACACTGCAAGTGGATGAATCAAAAGAGAGAATAAGGGCAATATCAATGCAATATTGATGTGACTGATGCATCACAGTTTCTAATAGAAATTAAATCACATCAAAACCAACCACATTCAAGTACAAAAGGAAACCCTGGTGGCACTTTTCAGATGAGGCATTTTATCATTATAGTGAATAGAAAAGAAGTTGAAGTGCTGTAGAACTGGATCAAAACCTTGGAGATGGTACTGATGACTCTTGATACAAATAAACCCAGTAGGATAAAACATTTATTATTGCATTTATGGGACTGCATTTAAGAAACTGCAGGGGGAAATGACTGTTTTCTTCTTTTCTTTTCAACACAGAAATTGTATAAAACATCTTGGGAACAGACAAGGGCATCTGGCTATGATTTTAGGATTGACGCCATCCCGTTCCAGACAGCAAAGGCTTCAAGAGAGATTGCTAGTGATGTAAGAATTGTTCTGTTTCAAACACTTCCCAGCTCTCTTCCTGTGCCATCCCCACCCTGTAAAAATGGGTGAATTCTGACATAAGTGAACCTTGTTCTGGTTTGGAAAATTGGTGACCCAGTGAAACCAAATGCCGGTTAAGTGCAAAGATTTCCAACTAAAGGCTCCCATTAATAATGTCCAATACCAGGCTGCTCTGTTTCACTTCAAAGAGTTCTTCTTGGGAAGGAAGCATATTACGATTTAGTTAAATAAAATAGGTACTAGGCTATGAATAGTTAAAGCATGGTCTAGAATAAAGTGAGTCACCTTTGAACACAGAAGACCACAGTTGGCAAGAAAGCTGAAGACAGAGGAGCTTCATTGCTTGAGCTGTGTATTGGGTGCGCTCAAGAGTACAACAATAAGAGGACCTCTGATGGCTTTTGAGAGATGAGTGTTTTGGGCTCCCTAAGTCTTTCTACTCCTTTAAAAATTAGCACAAAGGGCATTCTTCTAAAGTGTCTTGTTAGATTAGGAGATGTAGTCTGATATCAAACAAACCCTTGGTCTTTGTGCACTACAGGAAGCATTACTGATAGCTAGGGGAGGGTAAGTTATTTCATAACAGAATTTGAAGGTAATCTGAATGTGAAAATGAGATTTTCCTCTGCAATTTCTGCAGTACAAATACAGAGAAGCCTTCCTGAGAGACAGAGGCCAGCAGATTGGATTCCTCAGTGCAAATGATGATCCCAAAATCAGGCATGTCCTCAGAGTGGGGAAACTCCAGAGCGACAACCAATACAGGAGTGGATATGCCCAAAACAGGGCACAGTTCCAGAGTGACCTCAACCAGCCAGGATTCCTCCATGCTAAGAGAAGCCAGCAGCTTGCAAGCAATGTTAACTACAGGCAGCCTTTGCACCAATACTCTTGTGATCCTGAGCAGCTAAACGTGAGGCATGCAAAGCAGGCCTACAAGCTGCAGAGTGATGTAAGTATAGCTGAGCAACGCTGTCCTTCCAAGTGCTAGGAGCTGTCTGTGGCAATGTGCTTCGCAGACCTTACCTAGCAAAAAAATCACATTCTTGAAAGAACTACAGTCTGTTTGCTGAAAATGAATAATTTATTATCGACTCTGTTGCTCTTTATATGCTCTCTCTTGAATACCCAGGGCATGCGGTTTGATTAGAGCCATACACTGGTCTATGTTTCATTCTCTCAGGTAAAATACAAATCTGACTTGAACTGGCTCAGAGGCATTGGCTGGACTCCCCCAGGTTCCCACAAAGTTGAAATGGCGAGAAGAGCTGCTGAGTTGGCGTACATTCGAGAAATGGGATTGCAGGGTGCTTCTGCTCAGTGTGGACCTGGAGTTGTAAGTAGAGTAAACCATTCTTCTCACAAATTCCAACAGCTCTGCTCTCTAGAAGGCAGACAGGCACACATCCTGTTTAATGCTTTTGAATGCTCCCTGGAGTCTACAGTTCTCCCCATTATTTGAACCGAATATGTGTACTTCCCTCATGAAGCTTTGTGGCTTTGTGTACACCTTAATTTGAAGGAACCTCTCAAGAGAATTCAGCACTGTCATGGCTGAGGAATTCCTGTAGGGACTAGGAAGTGCCACGGGATAGGATTTACTTATACTATAGGATGTGTTTCCCTTAACTTATGGATGTTGTCACATCCCCAAGTGTCCTGGTACCTCCATGGAAAGCAGAAGTAGACGCGGCAGGGACTCCCTGTACAACTCACCTTCTCTTTTCCTAATTTCAGCAAGACACATCTGTGTTGCTGTGTAATCTCCACTGGCAACTGTACTGACAGGCTCAGTGTAGACTCCTAACAGTATAACGTGTGCTGTGGGAGGCTCCCCAATACTGCGGGAGGCTCCCCAATACTGCGGGAGGCTTTTTGCAAAGGGGGAGTGCTCCAGCCTCCTCCATCTCTATCCAGCCTCAGATGCAAGAAATTACAAGCTGGGATCTTCCAGGTTTTCCTTCTCCCTGCCTCCACAGGGATGGCTCCCAATCTGCAGTGTCCCAGCACAAGAGAGCAAAAGTCCGTACAGGGAGTTTGTAGACCCTACAGTTAGGAAGCATTAAGTTACAATAAAAGAGAAGCTCTGCACTTTAAATACTTGTTTCATTTAAGTTTTAACTTTGGCAACAAGTCAAACAATAAGCCAGCCCAAGAGAAACAGGACATATCCATGATTTACATTCCCATCTGAAAAGTTACTCAGGAAATAAATTATAACTGTGGTTGAGGAATGCAGGCAGTATGTTCTTAAGTCCTACATATGATAATGATCTGATGGTCCCAGGGAAATCTACAGGTGTGCAATTCCCCTGGAACTTGCTGGTTTGCTCTTTATTTAGGGCTCAAATTAGAAATTAGGACTTGAGCACATTCAGTCCTTCGATATGTGTAGTATCTAACTTACACGAATGGCTCCATTTTTTGCACTTTTCCGTTGTAGAGATTTGCTCAGTGCAGAGCAGTAATTCAGATTTTGCTAATTTGATTGCCACTTGAGGTAATTTTTAATATACAAATATTTTTATAGAATAATTGTTAAAACCTTCTCCTGTCCACTGGCTGTCCTCACAATTTAGTTGGGCTTGATTTAACAGGACCAGTTGGAGACGGAAGGATCTCAGCAGGTCACAGTCAACCCTGATGCTTCAGAAATTCTGCAAGTCAAGAGAAGGAAAATGCAGCTGTATCAGAAGTAAACAGAAACATGACATAACACAAATAGATTTTCATCTTGTCCTGCAAATCCTGTAGCTTTTCCAGTTTTCTGGGAAGAACAACAGAAAGCATCTAAGAACTTTTTGTTTTAAAAAGCAGCCTAAACATTGCATTTATAACATCTTTCTATTTTTGTGTGGATATTTTATCACTGTATGTATTACAGAATCTGATATTTATTAAAAGCTGTAAATGAAATTAGTAGTAGGTGACTGGCAGGCTCAGCTTTATACTACAGATGAATGAACCTGATTGGTAGAATATAAAATAATTTGTAATGAATAAATCAGATGAATCTTATTCCATACTTGTAATCTTTGGAGATTTTTATGTTCTTGGATTATTGGCACCATTGACCTAACAGAATACAAAAGCGTGATTCAGGTGGTTTAACAGATGAACAAGACAAAGGCCAGTGGAAGCAAAGTTATCATTGACTAACCAAGGGCATGCCTTTTAGCAGACATCAGAGAATTTGTTCTTGATTAACAGGATGTACTCAGATCACAATTAGTTCTTCAGTCTTTTTCAAATCTTCCAAAGCAAAAAATCAGAATTAGTTTGTTAGAAAATATGGCAATAGGGGCAGCTATTGATAGATTAGGTAACTGCTTAGAGAAGGTTGTAAACCCCGGAATTCAGATGAAACGGACATTACTATTTTAAAAAATTGACTCTTCACAAACATGTCTATTCTTTATATCCTGATTTAATACCAATATCCTGTTTTTCAAATTTCTGTATAGGGTTGCAGAATCGTTGGGAAAAATATACAATTTGACTTGCAAAACTTGTGAAAACCCAAGAATTATCCAACAGCTTTAGACCCATTTTTTAAATGGTATTTAATATCCCCTACATCTCACTGGTATGAATTGAAGTTAAGCCCATATATACCATTGTAGATCTGGAGCATAATAAGTAATTATCCTCTAATCAGGAATAAAGTGGCTAATTCTAATAGTGAATTTTTTTGCTTTTTTAATCTGGAATGCATCACTGATGGAATTTGTGGTTATTTGCCCTACAGATATGCTTTTAAAAATACTTCTCCTGCCTGATCCTCCCTCCTCAGATAATTCCAATGACCGCAGTCTTGAAAACATAGGTACATGATGATTTTTATGTATGTGAAAAACGGCACTGGCTTTAGGAGCGCACACCAATAGCTTTGAGGTGTCAGGGTCCGATGAGTGCAGAAAAAACACACCTTAGCCAGGGGCATGAGGGTAAGAGGGAAAGGGTGGCAGCAGCTGAGCCTGCAGAATTTTCAGGGCTTGAAAAGCAAAACTGGAAATATTGGCAAGTGTGGTTCTGATTGATTTGGGGAAGAACTGGAGCTGCTTTGCTTTCTGATCTGTTTTGCCTACAAAATGTGGGCTTATTTCAAAGACCCCAACAGGAAAACTGTCACTGACATTCTAGCAAACGCTCTAAGGCTATTTTCAAGATGGTGATGAAGGATGCCCCATGTAGGCCATGACGAAATATCAATAACGTTTTTGGTTGAAGAGAAGGCATTTGGGGAAATGATAAAAATAAGTAAATATCTCAAGCTTACCATTTGTCATTCCAAAGCTGTCTCCTAATGAAGTGACCTTGACTCAGACCGAATTTTGGATTTAATCCAACTGAGAAATGTTGTCACCTGAGTATAAACTCCTGGCTTGTTTTTTAACCCACAGCCATCACCCCAGCTCACAAGGCCATACACATAGTAGGAGCCATTTTCTACACAAGTTAGTGGGCTTCCGGAGTCTCCCTGATGAGAAAAAGCACACATGTTCAAAACATGAAGCAAAATGTTAACCAAAATAAGAATGCTCCTCTCCCATCGTAAGACTTTGAAGCTGTAATGATGTTTTTTTCCTATGGTTTGTACCATCAGATGCCGCTCGGTTCCTGAATAGGCTTGCAGTTCTGGAACCAGGTCAAATGATACCAAACTCTTTGGATGTAAGTTTTTGTTTGTTCAAGTCTGTGACATATATCTGACAAGGTCACATGCAATTTCCCAGGCATGAAATTATCAGACATACAGAGCCTGAGCTCAGAAAAGTAAAGGTGTGATCCTTGGCATAAATGAAAGCACTGGATCTCTCCCACACCCCTCAAAAGAACTTTATTCTGAGCTGGTTGGTCTCATTTTTTGTTTTATTGGTGATTTCTATTGCAAAGTATGCTTGCAGTGGTAGTTTGCACCTCAGGAAGCATTGTCAAACTCTGCCCTATCTTACAACAGTATAAATATGAACTTGCTTCACATTTGCACTAGCTGTAATGAAAAGAAATATCAGTCCTGACTTTCCCTGCAAGTCTTAGCTCTGATAGTGAAAATCAGATTAGAATTGGTGCTCATGGCAGAGGCCATAATAAATTTGAGAGAAAAAAGGCAAGTTTTCAGGTTATTATGACAAACTGCCTCAGAAGCCAAACTTCCCAGGCTAGTCTCTAGCTTCCATAGATCTGCCTGTGGCTGACAGTGACAACATTAGCTCTAGGGATATACATCTCAAACTGTACTGAAGAAAGACGATGGCTGTTGAAATACACTGATGGGAGAAAAAGATACATGTGCAGCACCCTGCCAAAGCTATTACTCTGCGCAGCCTGACTATTTACACAAAAAATTAGTGTTCAAATACAGAAAAAGCAACAGACCTGACAAGAATCGGCTCTGGGTCTCTGAAGATTTCCTGCACAAAACATGCTTTCATCCAGTATGTGATCGTATGATCTGGGTGCATTGCATTTCCTTTGCGAAATCAGCTTGACATTGGCATCTAACAGCTGACGGGATACTTCATCTACAGGATGTGCACCAAAAAAATGGCGTCACCTTCCTCCCAATCCTGTTACATGTTGTCTTTGTTCAAAATAGGAGCTTGCTTGCCATTTGGATAGGAAAGGGGAAGAGCAGGGGGGATGCATGGGCTAGCCTGGGAAGAAACGAAGTATCTATCTGAAATGATAAGGGTTAGAGTTGGAGCCTGGAAGCTTCACTCAGGACACCGAGTTGTTGCCTGAACAAAAGCAAAGTCAGGTATTCAGAATTTGGGTCCGGCCAGCTCTACCCATGTAATCCAGCTTTTCAAAGGTGCTGGTTGTCTGCAGGTCCCGTGGGTCCCAACGGGACTTGGAGCTGCTCAGCACTTCTCAGACTGGTGCCATTAGATGTTTTAACACGCAGGCTAATGAAACAGTTGAAAGCTGAAAATCATACAATATTTAAGGGCAATGATTAGTTATAGTGAATCTAAAGACATAACTTGACATCTAAAGGCAATAGCCAGAGTTTCAAAGCACTGCATCTGTAGATAATTAAAGGTGGTTTATAAGTTTGGTTCTGCTTGAGTTTCAGGAAATATTCCATTTCTGCAGTGATTTCCTGAAATGCTAATAATAGCTCTGCTCAAAGAAGGAGCCATCTAGTTTGAACACGTACAGGGTACTTGATATTCTTTGTTGGGGAAAAAAAAATTTTCCCCGCACCCTTTTTAAGAGAGACTTTTTATTTGGACCTTTTAAAAAATGTCCATTAAATTCTGTTGGTGCATTCTGATCAAATGAACACGCTTGTCTCTTGTGGACTTCAATGAGAATTACATCAGAAGGGAAAATTTGGTCCTATGTATCGCATCAGGCTGTATCAGTCACAAAGCACTAGGACACCTACTGCAGCCTCAATGACACATTTTCCTTCTGTGGTTGCTTTACAGCAACACATCAATCAGAACATGAGAAAATGCATTTTTCAGAAAATTGCCATTATCTTTTTTTAAGCATAGTAATTTCTCCCCTTAGGATTTACTGCGGGCAAGAAAGGTTTTGGATAGAGCTGGTTGAATTTGAAAAGCTTTGGATTTTTTTTATTTTTCAGCGCATCTGAAGATCCAGATGCTGCTTCTGAAAAGCTTTATCTGACCCAATGGGCTGGAAAACCACGTGAAAGTTCCCATCTTTCTTGGTCCTGTCTTGAAACACACAAACTATACAATAGCCTCTCTCTTGATACCTTCTTGCTTCTATTGCTGGCTTCAGATGAAACCATGACATGGTGTGTCAGGTGATAAGCAAAAAAAAATGCATCGGGGATTTTTTCAGAACTCTGAAAGGTTTGGTTGGTCTAGCAGTTGGAGATTTCTGCTAATGAGTAATTTCCAGGGCAGGGTTTTGCTGTCCTTAGTTTTGAATTCCATGTCTTGGTTTCACTAAGTGCCTAGGTCTACATTTGGGTCTGGCAATTGCTACTGAAAGTACCAGCCCACCTTGCCATGGAAGTACCCACCAAAATCCAGCTAGCCCATAAATACCTGTCTCTGTTGTGCCCCATCCAGAAATGAAGCAGTCAGTCCCAACAGGAAGGAAGAAATTAGGCAGACATGCTGTTTTCACATACTTCGTTTCCACTGCACAGTGACCATCAACTGGCTTCAATTTAAGTAGGGCTGGAGAGAAGATAAACAACAACAAAAAGTATTTGTAGCTAATTTTAATCCCTAACCATCATTGTCAGTCTGTGACTCAACCCTCTACAAAGCTGCATACACCTGACATCCTACTTGCACTACATGCTGGACCTGCCCCTATTTTTTTACCTCCTCCCACCAGTGACTTCTGCCTGCCCATCACAATTCACATCCCAAAGATTCAAATGGGTCTAAACCACAATTTAGCCTAATTATTTCCAGAATATATTCTCAATGGGAATTTTACACTGACTTTAGTTGGAGAGAGGCGCTTCAAGCAACTGAGGTTGGAGGTGAGCCACATGAATACTCAATAAAAGGGATTTACCAATATCATTGTGTGGGACATCGTCCTTCTGTATGTATTTGTAATGTACGATGATCTTCTCCACATCAAATATTTGCTCTTGATGCTCTCTCTTCTTGAGGTCTTGCTTTCCAAGGGCTACTTGGAGATTTTCTGCTGGTTGGCTGCAAAAAAACCAGTAAATTACATGCAGACATTGTCTATCAGTGTTGGTGAAAACCTGCATCTTTGGTATCTGGAAGTCAAAATATTGCTTCCTGTTGTAGAGCATGGCCAGATTTCCTAAGATTGTTATAGGAGAGCTTAGTCAGGGAAGTGGTGGTGGTGGACAATACATATGCTCTTAACTTGTTGCAGTGATGAAATAAAATGATTTAAAGCTGCATGAATACTCTTTTCTTTGCATTTTGGGGCAGAGTAGCAGTGTGCACACAGTCTGTTACTGTGGCTGTGATGATGAGTGGTAACTCACAGAGCCATGGGAGTACAATTGCTTGCCATTGTCTGGGCATACTTAAAATCATCTGTGCTGGAATAATCTCCAGTGTGTAATTTACTAATTTCCAAGGATAGTGGTTTCCAACCTGTTCAACAAAAATGTTGAAGGAAATGTCATATTCTAAGCTAGCTGGCACATAAACAATTGAAAGTGAAATATTTTGGCTGTTGTGGAGATCTTAATTATGATGCAATATATGATGTTGCTTATGGTATCCCAATATCCCCTGAGGTTTTCATGGAGTCCTTCTTTCATACATTGCAAAACTATGTTACATTCTTCCTTTTTTCCTCTCACACAACTATTTTAACTTATTTTAGGTGAGTGGGGGATAAGTTTAGTTTGTTATTCCAGCAAACACCAATTTTAAGTACATCTATATTTTCATGTATGTGTTCATTTTTTCACATATATGTTTTCCTTTCAATTTGATTCCCAGCAATCATTTGGATTGCAAATAATTTGGATTCCAAACTGTCTTTAATAACCATCCTGATTTTTATACGTTTATCTACCCTAGGCATAGGACATGCACATACTCAATGCAGTGCCCAGCAGTAAGAACCCAGCATGCTTTAATTAGCACTCCACCACAGAAATGTCTGCTCCTTTTTGAAGTCTTTATCTGCAGAGATGCCATCCAGGGATGTTTGCCAGCTGTAGTCTTAGCTCCACCATAGATCCTCTTGAGTGTCCTTTGAATTTCTGGTTGTCCACATGTTTCGAATATTTCATTTGATACAGGTGGGTCTGTTGGGCTGTCTGTTGGCCATGGGCTCTCTTCAGCTGCATTAGAAGAGACAGCAGATGTATAATGCAGAGATAATATCAGACCGGAGGAGTTAAGTAACAGGGGGTCACCTGCTGCTCTGGAGCACCTACACGCTGCCAAACAGCTCACTTCTAATTCTTTACCTGTTCCTGAGCAGGGTGAAACATCACAGAAGTCCCATTCCACTTTGTGATTTTTTCTGATGTAGCACCAGGGTTTTTCATCCTCATCGGGATTCCTGAAGGGAACAGTTGAGAGCATCAGCCCATGGGAATGGGGAAATCTCCACAAAACCAGCACAGGAGCTAAGGATGCTTAGGGGAGCAGCCTCATGCTCCCATATGACAGCTAAACTTCCAAAGGTACTCTTTCATAAGATTTGACAAAGAAGACACCTGAGATGAGGGAGTGGGACTTCTGCCATTTTACTATCCCCATACCTATCTTAACCCTAAGAAAAATGAGGGACTGATTCGGGGAAATGAGGGCTGCTTCTGGAAGCCTCACATCAGTACAGTGACTTAGGGAATACACCTCTAACATCCTGGTATTTTATAGACAGGCAGTGCCTAGAAAGATGCGAGATCTTAACACCATCAGTTTGCCAAATTCATGAGCGGTTTGTCCTCAGTGCTTTCTTTGATATAGACCTCTACAGTTCCTTCTTCAAAATATTACCTGCAGAAGTTATGTTCACCAATGCCGTAAGAGTTAGCATCCTCCATAAAGGCATTAATAGGGTAGTCCAAGAGAATATGGGAATTCCAGTGCAGGCAGGTCTTGCCATTCACTGCTTGGTTCACTCTTCCTCTGTACGTAGAGGAGGCCTCTTCATAACAATCATCCAGTCCTGTAAGAAGACAATGCTGATATGAAAATGACTTTTGTGTTGTTCCTTGTCCAAAGTGGTTCCTCTTCCTTGCCCTACGTTCATTTTATGGAGGATCAGAAGGACCTACTGGGTCATGCAATGATATCCCTTATCCTACATAGGCCAGAAATAAGAGTTATGTCCCAACATCTGTCCAGCTTGAAGCTTGATTGACTTCAAATGCCTGAAACCTCTTTGCAGGGTAAAGACCTAGCAGCTAAGAGGTGTCTTAATGCCAAAGCAGAATCTCTCCATCAGTTCTGGGCAAGAAATGGTATCGGCAGGATTAGACAGAAGTGGGCACAGAGCTGCTATCATGCTAGGACAATGGATGTGCCAAAAGGAAAGTTGTGGGGTTGTGAACCTAACCTGTAGGTGAGGTGGAGGAAAAGTCACCTGCAGTATGGAGCAGGTAGTGGTACATGGAGTTTGAAGTACAATCAACTTTTAAAAGAGAAAGAAACAAATCCTTCTCCTTGGAAACATGTGTGGGGTGTGGTGCCCATGGTGGTGCTGCAGAGGCAGAAGGCTCTCCATGCAGGCTGAGGTAATCCCATGCCCTTGGCCACCCATCTGTGTGTCAGTGGCTGTCCTCCCAGCCTGGGGAGTCACAGGCAACTGGACATGAATCTTCACTACATCAGCTTTCGGCTGTTTAAGGAAAGCCCAACGTTTCTTCTCCATGGGACATGTGCAACCTCTGGGCAATGTGTGCTCGCTCATTATATAACAGTGGGACCTTGCAGAAGCACACTTAGAAAACATCATTATGGGAACTGTTTTGAGGCCCTTTGCTGATGATGGCTGCAGAAGTCAGCCTCTTCCTCCGACACTGTCCCTGAGCAGGCCAGTGCCCTGGGTGCAGTCAGGTACTTGGTGCGATGACGGCATCAATAAGTCTGACTGCAGGGTGAAGCCAGCCCTTGGCTGGCTGGAGGCTTCACCCCTACCCTCTCCCCTGGAGCTGTGACATACCGATCTCACAGAATCTCCCTCTGAAAGGTTCGGGGCACTTGCAGGTGAATTTCGATCTGATTCTGTGCCGTATGCAGGTACCTCCATTTTTGCACGGGTTTGGTCTGCACGGTGAAGATGCTGGCAACACGGAAAACACAGAACAGCCTTGTCACTCTGCTTGAATGTGATACAGCCACTTGCATGCCCGATGGAAACTGGGGAGAGCTCCCACTTAGCCTGTTGGTTTCAAGTCCTTATGAACTCTTGAAAAACACTTACTGCTGGGGGTCTCACCAGTGAGTGAACCACCACCCTGTAAATCAAGCATGACTCATCACTGACCAGCCCCACGGATGGGAGCCATAGCAGACTCAGGCTGAATGACCAGGGCAGGACCACCCTCTGTGGTGGGCCGCATGTAATGTCCCACTGCTGACCGTCTGTGCTGAGGCGACCTTGCTGTGCTGTCCCCACCGCAATTCACTCTGTGCCCCGCTAAGCAGAAGCCTTTTCTGATGGGGCTGTGCTCACCTTGTTGGCAGTCGGGCATCATGTAGGGGTGATTGCAGCTGCACTGAAAATAAGGTGGGGTTAATGTAATCAGGCAGTCTCCCCCGCGGCACCTCTTCTCCAAACACATGTCCTTCACTGTGGAAAAAAGGGACACAAGGTTCTCCATCAGCATTTGTGTATGCACAAGAGCTGTGCCCTCGCAAGGATCATGGGAAGACACGCTTTCCCCTGATGCTCTGAGGAGGCTTTCATCTGTCTGGTGTGGACTTGGGATTTCCCTTCTTGTTCAGATTATCTATGGGAAAAAATCCGCAGGACCGATGAGCAGCTCACCATTGCCCACCTGGCAGGGGATATAGGAGTGCTTTCTGCACACCTAAAGCCTATTTTACTGGATACCACTTTAGACAGACTTTGGTCTGGACAAGGAGCTAAGCGTGAGACCTATGAACATGACTGTGGTGGGCTGTCAAAACCCTCACCCCAGCAAACAGTGTGTTTATAATGCCCTAATTCTATTGACAGAGCTGTAACAATAACATTAGTTGCCAAAATCAGGAGTGTAAGTTAGCAGAAGAATTACCTTTCTCGCACGTAGTCCCAGCATACGGCTTGGGGCAGAGACAGCTGAAGCTTCTTCCTCTGTTTTCACACCTACCGTTGTTCTTGCAGGGGCTGGAGGAGCATGGGTCTGCTAGGGTAAGGATGGAGATCTGTTAGTTTAACTTTCAGCTTCTCCACCTCCATCACCTGCTTTTTATTCTCACGTTTTCTGGCTGCAGAAGGCTGCCTTCCTGGCCAGAGCATCCTGTGTAACAGGTACCACATTTATGCATCAGCTCATCAGCTGCAGGAGCAGCTATGAATTGCTGCAGAGCCTATTGCAAGCTGTAACAGCTTGCGGCTTTGGGTCTGGAGCTCCTCAGCTCCCTTTGCCATGTCTACGATGGAGCTGTAATGGGGCAAGTCCCTTCCTTTGCTCAGGGTCAGATTTGCTTCTATGGCAGGAGCAGAAGCAGGTGCCTTAAGAGCCAGAGCTGGCCCTGGGCATCTGCTTTCATACACTTAGTGTGGAGGGGTCTGGATTTGGCATTGCCCTGGTTGCAATGATGTGGCACTAAATCTCCCCTGGAAAAGCCATCCACCACCATTATACTGTATAATACCCCTGGGTGGCTATTGCTGCAAGGGAGCAGGCACCTCATGAGAGTCACCTGAGTGCCGCTCCTTACACCACGCTCAACGTCTCCGCTCCAGTCCAGGCTGCCAGGAGCAATTGGTGTTGGGGACAGCCGCATACCAGCTCTGCTTTCTTTGTACCAGGGGATAACCCAGGGGATGTTACAGGCAACTTCCCTGTCTGTCCTTTTGTGTTCCCTGAGCAATCTCAAGGATTCTTTCCTGCTCTCCAGAAGTTTGGCAAAACAGAAAAAGAAAAGAAAAGAAAAAACTCTGCAACTGAGAAAAAAGAAAAAAAAAAAGGAAACCTGCTCTGCATTTGGTTCCCAGCATAAATACAGAACATATATCCCATGAAAACAGCAATTACATCTTACAGTGTCTATAGGCAAATAAGACTGTGCTTTTTTGTAGTAGCAATCAGAAATGTTCTGCATGATCAGAATCCATCCTGTGAAACCCAGAGATAAAACACAGGCTCCTTACAAGAGAAATACAAAGGAGAACACTGCAAACAATCCTCCTAACTCATCCCTTTGATGCAGGCATTTTGAGAGCAGGCTGGCAGCCGAGGCCTGCCATGCTCACACTGCAGGCGCAGGGTTGGGATTTTACCCCTTCCTTGCCTACCTGCCCACCCCTCAGAGGTACCTTTTCTGGTATCGCTGTAGCCAAAATATGCCTCAAACCAGTCAGGGTCCTCTGAGGGCTGCTGCTGGCGGAAAGGATCCTGCTCCATTTGTGTGTACTCATCGTAGTACTCGTAGTCGTCAGCCTCATCTGCAGGGAGGGGTGAGAAGAGGGTAGAAGAAGAGAGGAATTAAAACTTCTAGAAGCAGAGAAGGTATGTAAGAATTTATTCCCTGGGATGGACAGTCCTTTTCTCCTTCAGCTCATTTGGGATGTCAGTGGGTCTAGAGATTGCGTCATCCTGAGGACCAAAGGTGCCGTTCAGGTCTTCCTTAGCGTGGGCAGAGCTCACCCAGCGCCCGGCATGGCCACCCCTGGGCACCGCTGGCCCCAGCTCTGCCCTCGCTGCTGCTCCTGCAGGGCGCTGGGGCTCTGGCTGCTCAGCCGGCTCCTGCGGTGGCAGCTGGGACGCCCCGGAAGGGTCACGAGTGGGGGGGCTCTGCAGGCATGGGCACAAGGCCCCTGTGCAGCACCACAGCCAGGGGAGATGCTGATGGCTCTTGCCAGCACAGTGAGAAAAGGAGATCTGGATTCCTACAAGAAGGGGTTTTCTTTCTGCAGCTGCTTGGATCACCAGCATCACCGCTGCTGCAGCGTGAGGCAAGACCTTCACTGGTGCACAGGTGCCTGCTGCGTGTGGGGACACAGAAACCCATTTCGAGGGAAACCAGAGGGGAGCGAGGGCCCGAGGCACCTGCACACTTATGTGGCTCCCTGTCCACAAAACCCCTTTTGAGGAGCGAGGGCCTGGCACAGCAGACACGTGCTGAAAAGCCCATCCTTGTCTCAGTGGAGCCTGCAGCCTCCCGGCAGCCAGCATCCTCCCTGGGAGCCTGTCGCCGGCGGGACCTGCAGCTTTGCCTGCCTGCGTTTGGGGGGGCCGGCTGATTAAAGCGGGCTGGCAGCTCCTTGCACAGGTATGGCTGCTGCCGGTGGAAGGCACTCCGGTGTTTCAAAGACAAGCTATGGTAATGAGCAAAGCTAAGCTTCGTACAGAGACATTTTAAAAAGCTCTCCCCTAGGGCCGGACCAATGGCCCCATGGATAATGCTCTGCCTTGAACTGATTATCAACTGCATTATCTTAGTTTTCTCTCCTCATTCATTCGCTTGCAGCCTTTATCTTTATTCTTTCTTTGCTTCTGGAAAAAAAAAAAGAAATTCCACTTTTGTACAATGGGTGTTTTATATTTCATATTAAAATAGAACCATCTTTTTTTCTTCTTTTTTTTCCTACATGCCAACTCTCGTTTCTCACCAAAAAAAAAAAAAAAAAGAGGAAAGTTTCAGGTCATTTATTGCCATGTCAAGTCAAGACTCCTTTTCCTCAGCTCATTATTTCCACAGGAGCTGAGTCTCGACAGTGTGCAAGTGTTGCAGAAGTGTGTGCCTTGCTGAGGAACAGAAGGATCTCGCTGGAAGATAAGGACATTGTCTACAGTGAACAAAATTAAATTTAATGTGATGTAGTTAAGAAAGGAAAACAAAAAGAGGGTTTTGCCTGAAATGCAGCCTGCAAGCTCACTTTGTCGGAGGGGAGATTTTGCAAGCGGACTTGAGTTTGAGGGAATTGTCTGAAGGAGTCTGATTTTGTTTCCCCTGTTTATTTTCAAAATCTTAGTGGGGAATGTTGGCTTTTATTCCACAGATGCTTTAAAGAAGTATTCTGAAAGGTAGCCCTTTATATAGAAAAGATATACCTGTTAAAATTTATGAAGGATGAACAGGGGAGTTACGGCTGCCAAAAGCAGACTACAAACACGCCCAGCATGCTTTAGAGAGGCTGGTGAGGACTCTCTTGAGTCGACAGAGGGAAAACAAGTGCTCCAAATGAGCACAAATAGCTAAGCCATTGTAGAAGCATCTACCATGATTTTTAGACCAACTGCTCAGTGTAAGTATGGTGTTAAGAAATGATGATACTGTCACTTCAGTTTGTTACATTGGCATAATTTCTTAGCAATGGATTAATCATTTATTAACAACACTTATGAAATTACTTGTTGACCCATTATGAACTATTTTAAGTGCATCTCTGCAGTAAAACCCAAGTTGACCAAGATGCAATTCATGTTTTGCAGGACGTCTGCTTCTGGCGGCTCTGCGAGGTGGAGGAGCACAAACCCCTGTTTGCACTGATGGGGCAGATGACCCCGGGCAGATTTGGGACAGGCTAATGCACACCTGAGGCCAGGTTGGCACCCGGCAGCCCTTGAGGAGGGCACTTCCAGGTGGCCAGGGCTGAGGTTGAGTGGGCAGCACCGAGCAACCCCCTCATGGGCTGGCAATTGCCATTAAGTGGGACTTTATGACCAAGCCGTTGAGTTAAGGGCACATGCAGAAAGGGCTCGGAAAACATCAGCAAACCCTTTTGGGTACGCTGGCCCCCCGTGTGAATAGTGGGAGTCAGGGCGCTGAGCTGCCTGGCCAGGAGACCAGCCAAGGTGACATGAGAGTGCAGCCGATCCGAGAAATCACCAGCTTCCCTGCTTTCTCCATCTACATCCCTCTTTATGAAACTGTGTAACAGAAATAGCTTCTATGGGTCACGTGAGTGATGCTTCCCATCTCCCAGCTGCTCCGTGTCCTCCCCAGCCGCACAAAGCAGTGAAAAACAAAGAACAGAAAACCCTGGCTTGGGTACATGACATCAAACTAAAAGATGTCTTCTTTTTTATCATTGCTTCGACACTAAATAACTATTTGGCTTCCACATCTCTTATTTAAGAAGTGCTCCCATTCCATTTTTTTAATTATTCATAACAAGCCATAGGTTTAGTAAAGCAAAAACAACAGTTTTTTTTATCTGAGCACATAATTAACACACAAAGTCTGATACACTGGTTGATTTAAACGTATTACTAAATCAGAGTGTTCATTCTTCATAAGTGCTGGAAAACCTTAACATGCTTAAAAAAAGCAGTGATCTGACATTTGTCACTGAAATGTGACTATTACATGAAATTAAATTAGACATCCTGCATGCAAATTTTCAAAGAATAACTTTCCTCTGTGTAGTACAAAAAAATCCCCCCATAATTGATAGGCAGAGATTGACTTTTAAAGCTTCAAATCAGCTTTGAGGTCTGGGTGATCTTTTAAACTGTTCAAGCTTTCATCTGCAGTTTTTCACATTGCCAAGACCTGTCAATCAAGCGATGGATTTCTGATCAATATCCCCTTGTTCATTAGCTTACACGGGCTCTCTCTTATGGAGAGAACAGATACCCCAATGCCGGCAGTCACACTGTTTTCAAAACCTTCGCTGGATCAAGTCATGACTAATGTTCTGAGTGGGAAAGTGATGCATTAGGATGCCATCGAGTGACCTGAATTGCGAGGTAACTTTGTTGGACTGCAGTTGTCAAGATGAGTGATGTGCAAAGTTAAAGCCTATTGCCAACACGCATCAAGAGTGCCAGAAAGTACCCAGCGTTTATTCAAGCTCTCTGAACCTCTGGGGATTGACTGAAATTTGGCCTAATTCAAGCAGGATGAGTTTTCCTGCCACCTTTCTAAATACTTTTTGTCTCCAGCTCTGAGAATAATGTAGTGTTATTTTTATGAGGCTGACATCCTGACTGTATTTTAAATAATGAGATGTCCCCCATTTAATTCTGCAGAGATGAGACCTCAGGGTATTTCCTCCTTTCCACGTGGGCTGTGGCTGGGAGTATCTGCGGCTTCAGAAAGAAATTGCAAAAGAAGTGAGAGCAGCAAGCCTTTCAAATAGCTTTGTGGCTGTTACTTAAAAGCAGTTTTGCAGTGCCTTTTCCTTAGAGGGATGGGCACTGGGTGAAGGTGGCCGATGATGGCTGAAGGAGCGGGGACTCGCAGGAGGATAGGGAGCGGGAGATTGCAGGGACAGTGGAGGGACAGAGGTAAGGACCATAAAGCATAGGGAGAGGGAATGAATTAAGAAACTGTGAAAGCTCCACCACTGAAAAGCAAATCAGCCAGTTTACACAAGGCTTGTGTGTAAAGCCTGAAGCCACGTGCATGGCTCTGTGGTCAAATACTTGCAGAAGCTAAATACTGAGCTCAGATCCACGAATTATTTGGAAATTTGTTTTCCACACACATCATGTTAGAAGAGCAAAATTGATTTGGGTAAAGAAGCAGTGCTGTATGAGCTACAAGGCTGCTGGACTCGCAGGTTTGACCTGGAAGCCAAAACGCCACTGGAATGAACAGGAATGTGGCTGAATAATGAGTGCATAGTAAAAACCACACTCTTTTTTTTGCAGGAAAAAGAGCAAAATTAATTTAATACTTTATTAGCTATAAATTACAAACTCAGACCTAAGAGTCACTGAAATCAAGAAAAGGAGGAGCAGGGCTTACCCACAAAAATACTAAACTTAGCAATAAAACCATAATCCTCTACGTGGACCAAGTAGGCTGCAAAAGGATGTAAAAATCCTCACACAATATCTACAGATCCTCACACCACATTCATCACAGCTTTTCTCTTATTAACATCTTTATGCTACATAACTTTCAATAATTTTTACTTGCATGAGCTTATAAACACTTTTTGAATTTCCTTGCACTTTGGACAAAACCTTGCGGAAATAAGTTCCACAGTTAGTTGCATGCTGTGGAAGTCATTTATTTGACCCTCAATTTGCACGCACAGATAGACTCTTTGCTTATCCTTCTGTGAGGTTTGCAGCCCACCACCCATTCTTCTCCAGCCCATGACCCACTGTGTCACCCATGGGTCCCCAAAGTTGTGTTGAGCACACAAGGCCACAGAGTAGCAGAAAGTCCTGGCTTGGGAAAGAGCTGTGAATTGCAGGTGCAGTCTAGGAGTACCCCATGATCAGCTTCAAATTGGTACCGCTGTTGTGCCTCTGTTTTGGGCTCCAGTGTGCCTGACACGTTCCTGGCTGGCACCCGATGAAGCGTTGTCTCCTGCACTGACACAGAGCACATGTGGACGTCTGAAAGTGCTTACCATATTACTTGTCCAAAGTCAAACAGACTTTCTACTTGATCACAGGCCTTAGTTTAAGCTCAGCAAAGCTGTGCATGAAGTTAGTAAAACCCAGCGCTGGGCACTAGCGAAGGCTCTTGATGGACCAGGTCACCAGCCTCTCAGTTTTGTATGCAGAAGTCAAAATGAAGGAATGGAAACCACTTACCATTCAGCAGGTCGGCCAGGAAGAAGAAATGGGAAGCCTGCAATAGATAAAAAAGGGCAGAGTGTCAGTTTCTGGAAAAACAAAAGCTAGTGCGGAGCTTGGCTTACGGCACAAAGTTTCTGTTTGCCCCCAGTGCTGGACATCCAGATAAGCTCGTTACCCACTTTGGAGCTAACTGGGCTGGATTTTAAGAGCTTTTTCAAAATGTCTAACAAAATGTCTTAAAACTCCCACTGTTCCCAACAACCCACGTGGGAGCTCTGGCTTTTCTGAGCATCCAGCCCAAGTCACTGGGCAGGTGTGCTTTGGGAAAAAAGTTAAATTGCCTCTTTGCTTATTAAGTGACTGCACACTGACTATTTATCTAACTCCTCTGAGATACGGACAGAGGCCATGCTCCAGCCGGCTGCCAAAGCAGGAGGCTGGGATGTGCTCGGGCAGGGCAGACCAGAGTTTGGGCAGCGCGGCACGGCCCGGGAGCCTGCACCTGGTGCAGCCAGTGGGATCTGGACCTCCGAGCTGGAAGGCTGTCAACAGCCTTTGGATGGAGGAGAACATTTCTGGCACTTCCCGTGAGGAAATGCCATGTGTCCGACCTCCGACGTGGGGCTCCAGCTGTTCCTGTTCGGCTCATGATCAAGGGCAAGCGACAAAAGGGAACAGAAGAAGAAGGAAAACAGCTCTCAGCCTTTGAAGAGTGTGAGTGAGGCTTGTCTGAAGGGAGATGCACTGACTCCACACCGGGATGCATCCCCTGTGTGAAGATTTCAGCTCGCTTTCCCTCTCACTCTAAATCCCAGCTGCAGACAGGATTACCTGCCTATGATGAGAATACATGTGCTAACAGTTGGTGTAAAGAAGGAGATTTGGAGCTGCTATTCTTCACCCCTCCCATGATTTGCCAGAAGAAAACGTATTTCCAAACAATTTAACACTCATAATCAAGACAGTATACATACACACACTCTAACATATGATTACTATGTGCACGTATGCATTGCTACGATTAACTGTAAATATATGCCCTGTTTAGTTGTGCATTATATATAGAAATGGTATATAGAAGAAAGACATACTCAGCTAACACTGGTTGTGACTAAGAACAGATGAATCAGAAGCAATGAATAAGAAACAGGACAAAAAAAGCTCAGAATTCACATTTGCGAATATTATCTGGAATATATAAATGAGTTTTTGCTTCAGGCACATTTGCGTCCCTCTTGTGTTTGAGCCAGGGAGAACAGACACTCCAGCGCTCCCTTTCCCACTGACTTTAATGAGAGCGGTGTCCCCTGAACTGCTCAGCGGAGCCCCTTTCCAGGTGCACTTAAGTGAGCCACACACATACAGAACTAAATCCTTTGCAGCTGGAAGGACACACACGCTCACACAATTGCCCCTCCTGAATAAGAGCAGAGATGACAGTAAATGAGAAGGTTGTAAAGGCTCCACCCTTGGTGTGTATGTTTCTTGAGTGCAGGTACAGGGTTCGTCAGATCCTTTGCCGGACCCTGGATGCAACGGAGACTGTAGCAGGAAAAGGTCTAATTGCTCCATTTGCAATTAGTGGTAGCATTCATTCATAAACACAGACCAAAACAAACCCTGCAAGTGTACTCCTTTCTTCTGGAGGAAGAGATGAAGCAAAAAGAACAAGGAAGCAGCAACGGGAGCAGGATGAAGCAAGAAACATTTCGTCTCCTTCCCCAGCTCTCCACGGTGCCCTGTTGTGCTGTTTGCCTGATGGGGTTGGAAAGGGTTTGGAGGCAGAAGGGTTTGACTCGGCGAGGCTGCCCTGGCATTCGGGGCAGCTCTTTGCACCACACCGGAATGCCAGAGGGTTTCAGCCCAGGCTGAGTGAGGTGCAGGACGTGACTGCATCATGCTCTTCTGTGCCTCAGTTTCCCCCAGCTGTAGAGCAGAGATGATTGATAGTCTCACTAGGCCCAAGGGGATGGCTCACACACCAAGAAAAGAAGATGAGAGACCTAGCACTTTGCTACTCTACTTTCTTTTCCAGGTCACATACCTACCCCTCCCGTCCAAGCACTCCTCCATGGGCAGAGCTGACTGCAAAAGGGCAGATACCCTAAACTGTCTCTTGCAATAAACTGGTGCTCTATAAAACGTGCAGGTTTCCAGTAACATCCTTCAGAGCAGGCAGTGGCTTGTACTCTAGGGTGGCTGAGTCCCAAATTTTGATTCCTGATTTTGGATGAAAGCCTCTACCTGCTGCCACAGTACAAATGATACTGGGAACAAAAGCTCCTGGAGCCCCGGCATGGAGAGTCCAAGAGTTAAACCCAATCTTTACCGTAAGGCTCCGGTGTCCCGCTTTGTCCTGGAGTTTTTTCCCCTCATGCGCCTGTCGCAAGCTGCAGCAGCAGAGCCACAGGGGACAAAAACCCAGGCAGAGCTGACCTCACAGCATGGAGACTTTTCTTCTCCCTTCTAAGGTCCATTGGACCACTCACCAAACCACACTGGTTTTGAAGCATTTTCACCCCCGTTTTAGCCAGCACAGGGCCAAGTTTTAGCCTTTTGACTCCTTGCATGAAGGGAGTGATGGTGTGCAGCAGAGGAGGGAGAAGCACTCGCCTCCTTCCCTCCTGCCCGCTTGAGCTCGCCCTTTCCTCCGTGCCATGAGGGGATGTGGGATGCAGGATGCGGGATGTAGGATGCAAGATGTGGGATGTGGGATGCAGAAGGAAGCTGTTAGAAAGGGGCACAGGTTAGGGGCTGCAGGGTGGGGGGGCTGCAGGATGGGGGCTGCAGGAGGGGGTGCAGGCAGGGGCAGTGAAGGCAGGGCCTCCTGCCTGCAGTGCCGTAT